TTTAATTGATCCATCCACCTTGATTTGTGATGAGTAGTACACCAAGTTGCATAAAATTGATGCACAAAAGATTCAGCTATATGTGCTGCATTGTTCCAGTAATTGATTTGATCATTCATAGAAGGTCATCAAGTATATGTAATTCCTTTGAGATAAGAGAGAAGTATTTCAAATTTGCGAAGTTTATTGATACAATTTGCCCTATATCTTTCATCAAATTTATTGAGTCAGGTAAGAGGATTCTGTTTCTTTCTTTTGAAGATTGGTAGGTCCACTAGCTTTGTTTATCTTTGGTTGTTGTTCCTTGAAGCATTTATTCCAGCAATTGATTCAGAAAATTGTCACAGTATATTAATGAAATTTTGATCATTATTTTGTCTATAATTATAGATAGGTTGATTTTTTCATTTCTCCCTTTGCTCATTTCTTTGCCTTTGGCCCGATCTATTTCTGTGTGATAGTGATTACTGTTCATCCTACCTATTGTTCTGATGGTTGTCATTGCACTCCTTCTGCCCATTATTTTCCTCATTATTATCCTGGCCTTGTGGAAGATACCTATTCCAGAATTGATTCAAATTATAAGAATGGTCTGCTTGATTCCAAGGGTCCTGAAAAATATTATCCATTGCTAAATTATAAGGTAGTAAAGAATAATGGATTGCACTATATTGGTTGTGGTTAGAAGTATCCAAAGAGTGAATTGAAGAAGAAAAAAGAATTTCAAGAGAATATTCAAGATAAGTAATTGCAAAATCTGACGGTGGTTTTAGAATCTAGTTATTAAAGTTATTATTTATCCAATTGTCTTTTTTAGAGAACAATTTCCTGTTGTCGTTACTAAAATATGATCAAATTTATATTTGACCAGTATATTCAAGTAAAATTGCTTTTAAAAGGACAATTCCCAAAAAAAGAATTAAAGAAACAGTTTATAATAAAGAAATATTCAAGAAGAGATTCATCAAGAATTCTTTAAACAGTGTTACACTATGTTTCACAAGAAATATGATTTGCTCAGAACCCAAGATTATTAATAAATCAAGAAAATTAGGACAATTACTTTAGTCCTAAAATCAAAAGAAGATATCTAATCTCTCAAAAGAAAAGTAAAGTTATTCCTAAACTTCCAAAATCAAGTGAAGCTATTTACAAACTTCCAAAGTTAAATAAAGTTATATTCAAACTTCCAAAGTCAAGTGAAGCTATCTATAAACTTTCAAAGTCAAGTGAAGCTATCTACAAACTTATCCTACTTTTGAGCAAATTATGATTGTTTATATACTTGTAAAAATGGGCCACTTGGATCACTTGGGCCTCCTGGGTCTCTTTGGCCTTCTAGGTCTCTTGGGCTGCCTGATCTACTGTATAATAAATTATGTCATGTGCTACATTTAATAAAGTGATCAACACTAATTAAGTATCAATAAGAATATCAATGAATATAAAAGAAATAATTATAAATAAATAGATAAAAATGAAAATAGAATGAAGATCATAACTAAAAATAACTATTCAATAGTAGTAGATGCTATTTTTATTACAATACCTAGAACAACCTCCTAAATATCAGTAGAATAAATCAAATATGAATGCTATCTTCTCAAATATGACAATCTAGAGAAGCATATACAATATTATAGTTAATATTAGAGACTTAATTTAAAGTGATCATACTGGCATATTAACTGAAATAGAAATATGACAATTAGACAAACCAGCCTGCAAATCTAAATATACTGTATCTTCAATCAGATATTCAACTGGAACAATACTAGTAAAAAGTTATAGAATAAATTAGTCACATAAGTGGAAAAGGATATTATATATCTAGATAAACTATTAGATAGCTCAAGCATTAATCAACTATGGAACAAATTCATATATATAATATATCAAGCTGCAAAGAAACACATACCTAAACACAAACAATATAAAAAATCAAGAATCCAAGAATAGCAAAAGAACATCTTTCAGAGAATTGCAAAGCTTCATAATATATATATCAAATGCAAATACTACAACAAGATTCACCAGACTATATTCAAACTGAAATATTACAAACAATTAATAATAACTCAACAAAGTTATTTCAGGAACTAACTAATCAACAACTTACATCTCCATATAACTACATAACTAGCTAAATAATAATACTCAAAATTTTAGCAAAAGCTTAAAATAGTAATCAAATGGCTTAACAATCATAAAAAAAAGCAAATGATAAAACAATTCTCCATCAGATGTTATATCATACTAGCAAATCAAAAGAAAGCAATGATTAACAGCATTCTCAATTATCTCACAAGATCAATTATACTAAATAAAGTAATTATTAAGAATATTTAAATTATAACAAACTCTCAAAAAATCTGTACGCAAGTCAAAAAACATTTTGAACAATGGATTCTCAAAAGAAACACAGCCCCACTGTATCTATATTTCCTTTGACAAGTGATATATAATTTTAAAGAGAATATATAAACCACATAATATCAAGGTACTCTAGCTTCAATTTTATTGTGAGAACTAATTCAAGCAATAAAGCATAGAAACTTACAATTGGCTTCAGGAAGAACACTATTCTATATAGAGCCTATAAACATATGAAAGATAAAATATTAGGACTCCTCCTTAGAATTTTTAATAATATACTAATATCAGGCAACACTCCTAAGGAATGGAGTAGAGGTCTCATTTATTTGATTTCTAAACCCAAGGACTGGAACAACAATCTAAATATCACAAGACCAATTATACTCCTGGATGCAGGTCAAAAAATCTTCACAAAAATAATAACAGATAAATTGATAGATAGTACAGCAAGACACTCTATTCTATTTGAGCTGAACTGGATAATACTTCTTGATAGCAATATACATGACCCAATTCATATAATCAACAATATTATTGAAGATGCCAAAGAATTCAATACCTATCTTTAGTTACAGGAAGTTATGTTTTTGTTTTAAGACAAATATAAACAAGAAAAGGGTTTTAAAGATATCTTTTGAAGTAAAACTTCAAATTGATTTAGGGATAGTATTAAAAATAAAAATTTTTTTGCAAAAGTCTTTTTTGTGTATAGATGAAGGATCAGTGGAAAGAGTTTGCAAAGATGAGTTAATTATTATATGAATAGTCCATATAATGTTGTAGATATTTTTAATATCTCAATAAAGATATGCTATGATAGCATGATGGTGAATTAAAAAAAAAAATAAAAATAAAAATAAAAATTTAAAATTTAAAAAAATTAAAAAAAAAGTAGAACTCGAATAACCAAACTTGGAGTATAGCTCAAGTCTTTACATTATTTAAATTAAAAAATATAAAAAATATTTTTGTTTATTCAAAAATATAAAAATTAAAAATTAGAACCAAATTAAAAATAATAAAACTTAAATAAATAAATTAGAAACATAACTCAAGCTTTTTTATTATTAAAAAAATTATTTTTTATATAAAAACATAAGATTTAAATACAATTTTAACATTTAAAAAAAAAGTAAATTTTACCTGGGCTAAATTGATTTATACATGTAAATTTTCCACCATTGACTTTACATTTGCGCAGAACGTCCTTCAGCTCTTCTAATGTTTTATATAACGAGAAGCTACATATCTTTCCCACCGTGCAGTGATAAAACTACATTTCAGATATGCCAATTACAACAAATATATTTAGATAAAGATGATATAAGAACGACAAACAAGTGTAAAGGTTTGGGCTATGTTTCAAGTTTAGTTATTTGAGTTTTACGCAAAATTATTTCAAGTCACTATGTGATTGGTTTTGTTATTTATTAACTTCTTTCTATAGAATCTGAAGAAATCGATGATGGAGACAAAGCTCTTAAGCAGCGTATGAAAGAAATTATATTAAGGCTTTCGAATTTGGAGACCATGCAGGATAGTACAAATGAAGCAACCCGTTGTGTTTTCATTACGTCTATCCTAAATGCACCGATAGAAATCACTCGAAAACTTACTAATGATAATACTGTATATATTGCGTACCAAGATGATGATCCGGTGAAGACACCTCTGGACGTGTCGATTATTCGATCAAAGGATGTGAAGATCTTATATGTATAACCGCGGGAAAACCACGTAATGTTGAAATTGGGTCCTCCAAGATAGAAAGTGCAAGCCATATGAATAAAAGAAAACGAACCGCGGATCAGGCATTTTATAATGACGACGATGATTATCTTTACGGAATAGTCTCTACATATGAATAAGTTAATATCTCTGATGCAGGTTTGTTTTATATTTTCTGATTATTTTTCTTCTAGCTACGGGATGCCATTTTATCAAACTCTGTACGGAAGGGTTATATTGTACCAGCAAAAGCGAATACCGGATTAATTTATCAAAAACGGCATTGAATGAGGATATTGAATCGATCAGGAAGGGCGTTAAAAAAACAATGTGTGATGAGCATGAAATTAAGAAACGTCGTATACAAAAAAAAATAGAGGAAAAACTTCAGCTGGAAGCTGAGGCACGCCATTGCTTCGCAATACAAATGACAGACGATTTTTTCTTATCTGTAAAAGATCAAGAACAGATGCAACTCACTTATCACCTGAAGCAATCAGTGATATCAGGATAAATAAATGCATCGAGAATTTTTGTCTGCTATTTTTTTCTGGATTTATTTTTATTTTTACCAATAAAGTATCATTTCGTGTCATGTTACGCGAGACACAATAAACCTGACTTATACGCGCTATTTTGACGACGGCTCGTCATTGAAATTTTGGTTAGCACGTATTAAAAATAATCTTGCAGTCGATGTCTTCTTCGGAATCTCATGGATTTAGCGATCAGCTCATACTTCGATGGAATACATTTTAGAATGGTCATATCTTGGTTTTTTAAAGGCTATGAAACCTTTTGCGTCTCAAATCCGAACTTAAGCGAGAACCAAAAATTCAAATTTGAGAAAGACATATTTAGCTTTTTTAAGTGATCATACTGAAGAAAAGCAAGGGATGCAATGTGAATTTGTAAAATCTCTTTTACGACAGGTCTGTCACTTTCTATACTATATTACCCTGAACTGTTATAGGCGACAATTCACAACCAATAGGGTGTTATAGGGGTGCCGTTCCTCGCGATTCGTTCGTCTGTTGCGGGGGTGCTCATGGGGTGCCGTCCTTACGTGTTCCTCTGTGGCATCAGTCGATCTCATCATATTGATCATATTGATCAATTCTAATTCCATGCTACGTTTTAGAAAGAACCTGAAGGGAAGAACTTTTGAGCTAGAAAGAAAATAAAAAGGTACGGATTATTTACTTTGAATAGAATTTGTTTGTATTTCAATCATACCATCGCGCTCACTCATCACTTCTCAAGAATTTTGTCAAACGTAAATCACAAATTGATGGACTGGAGTTGCTTCACGTCTATCGTCAGCAACAAGCAAGCGAACTATTTGATGATTTAAATCACATATACAGAAAAAACCACGTTTATTAGAATCTAAGATGGATCAGGAAGAGGTACTTATGGGCATCTTTTTAGCTAGAAGTTGAGTTGAACTAATTATTTTGTGTTTTAATACTTTCAGAAAAAGTAGCTTCCAAAAAAAAAGCTTCCAAATATTGGAGACAGAAATACTACAAATTTAACTGAATCTGCGGAAATCATCGATGGCTCAGAAAACGAAGCCGAATCAATTGATATAGATCAGGATGAAGAAGAAATTGGGAGGTTCACACAAGTATTTATTTATTTGCAATCTTTTAATGCTTTTACATAACTGACAATGATTATATTTAATTTTCTAGGATGAGGTGGACATTCGTAGCAAATTACTCAAAATTCTTACTGCACGTCAAAAAGAAGATAAAAGAGACTGAGAAAGATTTTTTGAAATCGATATACAGTATCTCAACAATATTATAAATTTATCAGACAACGAAACATATAAACATGTTAAAAAGTCCTTGAGTAAGGATCAAATTTCTTGGCTTGAAGGGATCCTCCAGAAAAAAAATTTGGAAATCTACTCCGGAATTTACGGAATATATCAACTAATTTACGGAAGAAACCTGTACTCGAACCATTATTCCAACAATTGTTCGCAAATCCTGTGTTACTGGGAGATTTGATTCTTTTTATCACGAAGCACATGATATATTGCTCAGCACATACTAACGCATTTGTAAGCATTCTTATGTTGACGGTTAACATTAATCAAAATTCCTTATAACTAATTTTTTCGAAAATAGTTCTTTACTCTTAGAAGCAACAATGAGAGTCGAGTACAAAAGCCTCAATTTAGAAATAAAGACACATTGATTTACATTTTAAATAGGTTATTTAGGATGTACCAAGACGAGTTAGATGTTGCTTGGTAGGTATCAATCTAAATTTCAAAATTTAAATTATAATCTTACTAATTAATTGATTTTTTAAACTAAGGATTAAACAAGTCACTTCAGATACAAAAAAAATAAATTTGATGGGATATATAAAGTTATTAGAACTAGAGGCAAAGGTCAAACTATTTTTATTATTGAATTTTCACGTGGAAGAACAACTCCCATATCCAAGAGAGACGGTGATTCGCTTAAGCTTTGTCAAAATGCTATGTGAACTTTAACTGTATTATTAGGAAATGTAGCCAAAGAGCGTGCACGCATCTACTTAGTGCAGTCATTCTGTAAGTGATTATAATTGGGAGTTAGATTACTTTTTGACATAAGTTTCTTTATAGACGGATTTGTTGAAATTAAGTATTAAGTATTTAGTTCGACCACTACCAACAATTTATATGTTACAACAATTTGGGCGCACCAAAATACCTGCCACCTTTAGTGATTTCGAACAGTTTTCAAAAGACAAGATATGCTTGATGGATTGGCAGGCAGAGTATTGAACGTGTTGATAACTCTCAAACAAATAATAATTTATTTTTTTTTTTTACAGACAGATGTCTTGTCAACAACTAGAGCAATAAATAAAGCAACCACGAATTTTATGGAAAATAATAATTGCATAACTTCAGTGAATGATACTCCACAGAAGAAAGAACAAAAATCAACAAATCCCCATCCCCCGGTTTCTCTTCGTCGGATCGCGATCTGATGCGTTCATCAGTTCATCAGAAAATCAATTTAGGCGATTAGATAATGCCCTATTTCAAAAAATTCAAAAAAATGATATCGACTGCGATTTACAATGTAAATACTTATCATTCAAAAATTTTAAATAAATTCAAAATTATATTCGAAATCCGATCACTATTACAGAACACAAATGATTTGCAAAGAAATTTTCAGCGACGGCCCGTCGCCGAAATTGTTACTTTTAAATAAATGACAGGACATATACAATATATTACTAAACATGCAATCCACAATTGATTTATTGGAGGAATTGAATTCCAGGCTTGTATCTGAAATTGATAATTTTAGAAAAACTTTTGCTGAGGTTGAGGCTGAGAATATCGAACTTAAAACTGAGAATGTGAAAGTTATGGCAGAAAATACTGAGATTAAAAACGATAACGTAAAGTTAAAGCAAGCTTTATAAGAAAATGAAACTAGAATCACAAATCTAGAACAGAAAGATAAAATAAAAGCTATCACTAATGTTTCGCAATCTTCAGTAAATGATACTCCTGAACAGATAAACTTACAAAGTGAAGATGCCCAGCATCTAATATATCTGATAAGGCTTCAAATTCTGATGTACTGTATCTTTAACCCGATGCTCTGCCTTACCTGTCCACACAGAGCCTAAATCAATAGAGGAAAAGAAGATGATTTATTTCTTGGATATACAAGTAAGAAAGCGGCTAGTGATATGATGATAAAGAGGAACAGGGAAAATAAACTTCAAGAATCACTTAGTAACTCAATTCCATTGGAGCCATCCGAAGTATTAAAAATGCAATTACTGATAATTCGTCCGAAAATTTCTTGAAAAACAATGATATTGACATATCTGAATCTCTCGACTCGAAAAGGCGATAAAGGAGGACAGACCGTCAATCCCCATTAGTGTGTATATTAAAGGACTTATGTCTTAGGAAGTCGAAATCTCCGCAATCTCCGAGAAAGTCGTGTACTTGCCATCTACTGTATATGAGTTGCGCCTTCAGCTAGTCAAATTATAGAATCTCTAGCTAACGACCTTTATAAAAAATTTTCAGATATGTTTTCAATGAAACCGCAAATAAAAAAGAATACTATTTCAAATACCGATGATATAGTCGAAATTATTAAAGGTATGGTGAATAGTCATTGAATATTGTGAATATGATCAAAAGTGTTAGCTAAAATTATTAAAAAATCTCAACATCGATGTTCAAATTGCAATAGGACTGGTCATAACCCTCGCAACTGTAAATATAAAAAGCGAAGGTCTAAGAATAGATCCAAAAAGAGAGGTAATATCAATAAGGTTGCTGTGGATTCCGGCTCTAGTTCAGATACAGACTCTTCTGATAATGATTCTTCAGATAATGACTCCGATTCTAAGGAAACCTTATCTGAATCTGAAGTAAATATCACGTGTTTAAGAATAGTTCAAAAAATAAGTCACCCTCCAAGAAGAGCAATTCGGATAAATCATCCTCTAAGAAGTCCAAATCACGCAAAACGAAAAAAGACGCATCTTCTTCCAATAAATCAACTACTCTTGAACAAAATATTGTTCAAAATTTATTGGACATGCTCGAAAGGTTTTACTTCCGAATCAGATAGAAAGACTTAAATTCGAAGATAATTATTCATCCATTCCGGATTTTACAGATCATCGAGAGCCATCTCAAATTCCTAATTTAGAAGAGATATTGGATGATCCTATGGAAATTGATTTTGTTCAGAGAAAAGGTCTGACTATAGATGTAACTACAAAATGCAAGATCTAACGATTATTAATCCCAGCGGCCACAGTGGGTCCTGGAGCAAATTTTGCAATTATGTCTGAAGATATAGCCAAACGATTAAGGTTGGTAATTAATTGGTACAAAAGAAAAATATGGCTTAGAGGTATTGCTATTGTTCCCACAGAATCTCTTGGAACTGCAGTAGACTTTATTCTTTGTTGCACTATATGTTCCGATTTTGCATAGTCAAATCCCAAACCCATGCTGATTTTGCCAAATACTCTTCTAGATAAATATGACAATGATTTGCTCACATCGAAACGAGAATTGTAACTCGTATGTAATGGCAAAGAGTATTTTATTCCGATAAACATGCATAAGGTCAAGAACAAGTTCGAAGTAAATTGCGCTACTGCATCTTAAAATAATAAGCCTTTGGTATCCGATCAAATTTCTCAAGAGATGGATAGTGATAAGGATGACAGTATACAGCTTGAAGAGTGGCATGCTCATGCGGGTTTTAGCTTAGATTCCGAAAATTTATTATTAAAAAAACGCATGAGCTATGAGGAGTTAGAAAAATCTCTATATACTACTCTCGAATCTAAAGCTGAAATAAATGATCTTTGTGAAAAATTGCAAAAACGTTATGAAAAGCTACTCTTACAGAGTAAGGATGTTTCCACATCTGAATATATCTCCTCTAAAGATGATGGCATAAATAAAGAATAGATAAGGTTAGGTGGTAGCTAATAGGCGAGTCATATTCGCTTTATTTTTCTCATCTCTTCTGCCTTCCCTTTCATATAATACATCCAGATCCTCGCTACTTATTTCTTCTGTCTCATTAAGTGTGGATGTTACCATATCAAAGTTATTAGTAGGTATTAAATCAGATATGCAAACAGATTTAGATCTATAATTAGAGCTTTTCTTTTTTATTTCTTATTAAGGAGAGTAGTGGATTCCAAATGTAAAACCTCGCTTTTAATCTGATTAGAATATTCAGGTAATATTTCCGTAGAAATAAGACTTTGTATTATTTGTTGCTGGCGTTCTCAACCTTCCCATATATCATCTATCCAATGTTCATTAATATGGAAATCTCTTACAATTATATACTTAGGTACCTTATCCTTAAGTGATCCGATTGTTTCTATCTGCTAGAAGTTAGATATGTAGATTTTCTGCGATAATATGATTTTAGAAACGGTTTATTCATAGTTTGTTTTTTTACCGAATATTTAAAATAATATCTATCATTATAGAAAAATAAGAAATAATATACAGTATATTATTATAAATTAATAGGGAATATTAGTGACAAATAATTACTATAAATCCCAATTTAATAATATCTAATATTATATTTTAATTGTCTATTATATCTAACATTAAATATCGTTAAATAATAATAGAAATTATCCACAAAACTAGTTTTATATATAGTCAATTCAAAATATGACCAATGTGCATACACTACGAGATATCAGTAAAGGCCACCGACTTGGTAGTATGCGTGAACAAGAGCTGGAAAAAAAGTTATTTACTGCTCTCAAATCTAAGGCCGAAGCTAATGACCTTAGTGAGAAATCGCAAGACAAATACTTTAAACAAGTGAAGAATTTTGATCAGGAAAGAAAAGGGAAAAATCGGGAAAGAAAACAATGTGGAAGTGCATTTGATAATGGTAATAATGATAACCAAAAGCTACAACCACGCTTTAGAACTTATTGGCGAAACTAAGTGATTAAAGATTGAAAATACTAACCTTACCTCTGAAAACTCTGAAAATATTCGTAAAGATCTTTCTCTTGCCGAATCCAAGACTGAGAATGTTACAAAATCCAAGAAAATTAGATCGCTTGAACCTATGATCAAGATATTGGAAGGTAAGTTATCTTCAGCCCAGAAAGATGTATTTTCGATTCAAAATGACTTAACCAAAAAAGAATCTGAGATATTATCTCTTAAATCTAAAATAGCGGAATTGGAAAATATAAAGAGTGAATTGGAATCGAA